AACCCTTCGCTGCAGCACCAGTCTAGCGCACATAGCCTCCAAAGCCAGCCTAGCTTCTCAAGCATCACTTCACCCGTTGGCTACCAGCCATCCCCGATCCAAGCTCCCATGCAGCAGCAGTCTCAAGGCATCCCTGGATTCTTCGATGGTGTTGCACCGAGGCAGGGCGGTTTGAACGTGGGACCCGGAATGCTGGGAACGGATTTCGGCAACCAGGATCAGCTCCCTGCTCTACTTGATCGCCTGAATATCAGCCGCCAGGATCCATTTGCCTTTGGCAGTGCTGGTTCATTCTCTGGCCGCCAGCCCGATAACTTTTTGCAGTCCCAGCAGGTTACTCAAATGCTTCAGGATCGTGCTCAGCTTCAACAAGAGCAAGAGGACTTTGACAAGGCTCATGAAGATGATCCATTTGATCAGCACGCTCGCGAGGAGCGTCTTCGCCAGTTCCATGCCTTGCGGGCCCAGGAAGGCGAGATGGGCATGCGCACCGCTGAAGGCCTGCCTACCCACCCTGCCGCCGCATCTCGGCAACTCGAAGCAGAGGTTGCGGCCGAGATGGAGGAGGCAGCTCAACAGTTGACCGACTCTGTTACCGGCGCTAAGCCTCTCACTCTTTCTCAGCAAGTCCACAAGGCTGCTTCTGCTCAACGCCAGCAGCAGGAACATGAACATAGCCATGGCCCTCCTGAATCGGTCTGGGGAAACAAGGTTGACCACGCTATGCCCCAACCTTTCCCTCCCCCACCCTCCGCGTCGCCTCTCCCTGCACCTACCGCCCAGCGTAACCGCCAAAACGTCGCCGAGTCTCTGGCTACCGGGTCCCGCTCCCAGACTCAAACTCCCGTTGACGCTGCACCTACCTCCATCGCACCATGGGCCAAGGAGGCAAATGACTTGCCCAAGGGCCCCTCTCTCAAGGAGATCCAGGAAGCCGAGGCTCGTACTGCCGCCCAACGCGAGGAAGTCGCCGCTGCGGCACGCCGTGCCCAATTCCTCGCAGAGCAAGAGCGTCTCAGCCAAGCGCAGGCACAGGCAGCTCCTGGGCTCCCTTCGTCTGCCAACTGGGCTAGCGCTGGATCTCCGGCCACCCCTGCCTCGGCTGGGTCTCCTTGGGCCAACAAGACCCAACCAACACCCACCGCCACTACCGCTAAGAAGACTCTCGCTCAGATCCAGAAGGAGGAGGAGGCCCGCAAGAACCGCGCGGCTGCTGCCGCCGCCGCCGCTATGGCTGCGACCCCAAGCCCTCCAGTTCCCTCCTCTGTCGGCAAGCGTTATGCAGATCTTGCTAGCAAGGGTCCTGCTCCCGTCGCCCCCGGTGGCCAGGGCTCTAGTGCCTGGACCACCGTCGGTGCTAGTGGCAAGGTCAAGGGTGTGCCAACTGCACCAGCCCTTGGACCCCGCACGGCTAGCGGAACCGTCCCAATCTCGCCTCTCATCACTAAGCCCCGCCCTGTTACCACTACCCGTACGGTGACAAGCGGCGGCACCCCCCAGTCCAACCCCAACCAGGCCGTTGAGGAGTTCACTAAGTGGGCTACTCTGGCTCTGAGCAAGGGGTTGAACAGCAGCATCAATGGTGAGTTTCGCCCTGTCAATTTATACCGTCTCCATACTAACATCTTATCTCTAGTCGACGATTTCGTCCAGCAATTGCTCTTCCTACCCGCTGAGGCTGAGATCATCTCCGACTCTGTCTACGCCAATTCCCAGACTCTGGACGGCCGTCGCTTTTCGGAGGAATTCATCCGCCGCCGCAAGCTTGCCGATAAGGGCATTGTCGACCCCGTCTCACCCAGTGCTTTCGGTGAGCAGAAGAACGGCGGTGGCTGGAGCGAGGTTGCCAAGAAGGGCTCTGCTGCTACGATTGCGGCTGCTGCTCAGCGTGAGGAGGAGGCTGCCAGCTCTGCGTTCAAGGTTGTCGCTCCCCGCAAGAAGGGCAAGCGGTAAGGTGTGCATTAGCTTTTCTGTTCAAGCTGTTTTTTGAGCCTAGATAGCTGAGTCGGATCTGTTGTTTCTATTTATGTGAGATACGTGTCCATGTTTGTTGCGTGTCTTCGCCGTGCCTAGCATCATACTCCTAGTAGCATTGATATCGGTTCTGAATTGTGCATCTTTTTCGGACGTACGTACAGAGATACCTTGTAGCAATATCCGTAGATACTGCATGCTTATTCAGCACCGTTCCGGTCGTGGGAGGTGGTCAAGTCGACGTGACCTAAAATCCATTGTCTTCCAATCGAGTCAAAACATACGTGTCATAGTCTGAGTCGATGAATTATCACTGGTTTATATCATTTCATCTCATCTTGTATGCTTCATTGCTGTTTTGCTCGCATGATCGTTTAGTGCTGCATTCAATGGCACCATTCAGTTCACCAGACAGAGTTGAGGTTTCAGGGAAGCGCTTGAATGGAGTTTTCTTCGCTAATAGTAGGCTATTTTGTATATTCCGTGACATTTCTCGAGTCCAAATTACTGTTTTAAGTCTTTGAATAAATATCCCTTCAAGAGCACAATATGACCACAATGAACATCACCACATCATGTGCTAGTTGAAAAGTAAGACAGCTGCAGTGCTCTCTTTTAGAATTATGCAGCCCATATAGAGAGGTATGGTACCATACATTGGATGATTTCTTTGTGAGTAAGAAATAAAAATAATATAGTCATGTGCCTGTAACTGGAGATATAGCTCTTGAAGATATCTTATAAGCCCGATGACCTATCTGTATAGACTCAAATACTGGCTTAAATAGGAGAGACGACGACAAAGCCCTGAACCATTTCGAAAAACCTGAAAATAGATTGCATGACGTTAAATAGATGCTGCAGGAACTGGCTCAATAGTGTCAAATATAAATCATAACAAGCATAGCTGAGTTCCACCCCTTTATACACACGAAATTGTCATAAACAGATCATAACTAAGATCAAAAAAACATGTCCAGTGCAATGGTCGCCATTCCACGCCTACATCCAGGATCTCATGCGTAAGGATAGGATTGCTTTAGACTGGGCTCTGCAGTGCGACTCGCCTTTGATTGAAGGGTCCCAACAGCCTCTTGATTCCCATCCAGGGTGTGTTGATTGGACTATCGATTCCAGTATACAAGAATAAATCGTAGATCCATCCCCCGAAGGTGCAGCCTAATATTGGTGCAACCATAGGAATCTAAGAAAGAAACACTTGTAAGCGGAGAAGGCCCGGAAGGTTCACAAGGGTTGACCCAATGCCCAAATAAAACGTACCCAGAAGTAATAGCCCCCCGCAGCCCATACTTCGTGTCCATACCCAATCATATAGGATGTCAGCCGTGGACCAAAGTCCCGTGCCAGGTTTATGGCATATCCAGTCTCCCATCCAAAGCACGCGCCAATGCCAAAGATAACGAAGAATAGTGCCAGAGGTATCAGGGGCCCGGCGCCTAGATTGCCGTCGTCTTTCAAAGCGAATATCATGAACATCAAGACCGCGCTAGCAAGAAACTCGGAGAAGAATTGGCCCGTTTTTGTCATAAATTCTGCTGGATAGGTGCAAAAAATGCCGCCTGTTGCTGTAGTCGAGTAGCCGGGGACTGTGCGGGTATTTGGCCCGCCCTCGTAGACGTTGATGGCTGACTTATAGTTGCCGTACACGATGGCAGAACCGCACATCGCGCCGAAGATCTGGGACAGTGCGTACACGGGGAATTTGCGCCAGGGGAACCCGCGGAGGACACAGTTTGCAAATGTCACAGCGGGATTGATGTGGCCTCCTGATGCCCCGCTAGTGTATACTCCGAGCATGACGCCGAGTCTGGTGAATAGCGTTGGTTAGAAGGGAGTATTGAGTGATGATAGAAGAAGAAGAGGCTTACCCCCATCCCCAAGAGATAGATTGGTAGTCACCCTTCTGGCCATGACTGAGTAGCACCTGAGCAACGACCCCGTCCCCAAATAAAATCAGGATCGTTGTCCCAAAGAATTCAGAGAATGCATCACGGAAGTACTCCCTCACTTTGAACCAGAGCAGGGGGCGAGTATAAGGGCTTTCGACTTCGCGGTTGATGTGATGGATAGCCGTTTCGTTCTTGTCAGTCAGACACAGCGAGCCACAGCCACTGTCATGACTTGCAGAGGAGAGAGTTTCACGGCGGTCTTTTGCCATTGGATTAAGCTCAAGCTCTTTCCAGGTAGCCATCGAAAGGAGAGCCCAAGCTCTAAAAGCCAGGGTTGGGGCTTCGAGTTGATATAGTACGACCAACCGGGGGGAATCTCACCAGCCACGCAAAAATGATATGGTAATCCCCCCAGTATATCAACGGCGTAGAATCAGGGACGACCGTGTAACCAACCCTTTACCCTCAATCTATCCCGTACTTCGTAGAAGATGATGGCTCGATTGGCTGATGCAGGGTTTTGTCCTAGAAGAGAGTGTGTATCTGTGCTGTCTTGTCCTCTTGGTTCCGGCTCCAGAGCCCCAGAGGGCGTGCAAGCTTACAGGAAAGATATCAGCTGAAGTCAAACCCGGATAGACTCGGAATGATCAAGTGCACGTATGCTTTTTATTAAACTTGCTGGGCCGGCCATTCTCCTTTTTGTTACGGTGTCTTTTTGTCTCACCTAGAGCAGAAATTTCTGACAGCGCATTTCTGCTCATAGTTCATTCCAGGGGCCGTTTGTAGGAAAAGCCGTTTGGCCTAGGAAGCCGGAAGTCACTGTCCGATCCGGTTGGGCTGTTTCCTCTCTTTTGGGTAATCATTGGACACCGCAATGTTGTATATAGTTCCCACTTACCGGTATTTGTCACTGTAATAACTGCAGGAAGAAGCTTCTCTGTCTTCTGCTACTCATCTTCAACTCTTCAGGTGCCGGAACTCATGTAGGCCCAATTGCAATTTTCTAGAAAGTCCAAATTGTGTCACCTCGAGGAGCCAGACTTCTCCAAAGGGAGGCGAGGGTAACGGAAAGAGATTGGTCTTTCCCCATGATGATGCTGAGGGTTGTATTTTTTGTTATCTTTTCTCGTCGGCAGTGACACAGTTGACCGTTGACCGTGTGACCATATGCTTAGAGGTAGCATCACCGAGACCGGGGTTGTCCGGTGTGGTAGAAGTGATATCCTGCCCTCCAGCGGTTAACACCGCAGTATTAACTGCGGTAAAATGAAGAATTCTGACCAGTTTAGCAATCGCAATTTGGGCCATCCACCGACGGAATTCTGGTTGTCCTTCTGGTGCTGCTTATAGACAATGAAATAAGACCGAGTCAATGCGCGATTCCCGCCGATTTGGATCTGACACTTCGTCAAATGAACCGAGTCGTCAATCGTCTGCTGATCTCTCTCCACAATATGCAGGAAAGTCATGCTGACAGGGCTTGGGGGGAATTCGGGACGAGCGAGCCGTTTCCTGGTAAAATAACTTTTCCCTAATGAGTCCAAAGTGCATTGACTTGGCTAATTCCACAATCCCAGTTCCAATGAGCCCAAGAAAGAGTCTAGACGAATGGTCAATACATGTTGTGGCACAGCCAATTCTCACCTCTAATCCCACGCCTGGCCAGGGATAATCCCACCAATCTATTCTCACGGTGTCTCCCCGCATTCCTCGAATCGGCACCCCGCCGTGTGACTGTGAAGCTAGTATGTACAAACGCTTATATTTATGTGTTTGATGTTCCTTGCTATATCTCGAGTTCTCCCACGCTTTGTTCTTTGTCATCTCGTGTCATGCGCAAATAGATGACTCCTTTTTTTATTCCTCGTAGATTCCTACACAACACTCCATAACCATGCAGCCCTCAGATATATTTGTGGGGTCAATCGATCAAGGCACCACGAGCACCAGATTTTTGATCTTCAACCGTGAGGGCGAGCCAGTAACATCACATCAAGTCGAGTTCAGCCAAATCTACCCGAACCCGGGGTAAGTTGCAGTCCAACCCAACAATCGGACCAAAAGCCCAGCCTGGACGCAAATTAACCACTACTAGATGGCATGAACACGACCCACTCGAGATCATAACTTCAGTAGAGACCTGCATGGAAGAGGCAGTCCAGAAGTTCGAAGCGCAAGGTCACACCCGGAGCAGCATCCAAAGCATCGGAATAACCAACCAGCGCGAAACAACCATAGTCTGGGACCACGAGACCGGCGAGCCTCTGTACAATGCCATTGTATGGACAGATACACGCTCTCAGGGAATTGTCGCGGAACTGAAACAGAAACCAGGGGCAGAGCAGCTCCAAGCACTCTGTGGTCTGCCGTTATCAACCTACTCGTCGGCTACAAAGCTGCTCTGGATGTTGGGACATGTCCCAAGGGTGAAGGATGCATTTGACCGCGGCACCTTGGCGTTTGGTACTGTCGATGCCTGGCTGGTATACCGTTTGAACGGTGGCGTGGCTGCCAACGTCTTTGTCTCAGATTCGACAAACGCTTCACGGACCATGTTTATGAACCTGGAGACGTTACGGTATGATGAAGTGCTTCTGGACTTTTTTGGGATCAGGGGAAATGTTTATTTGCCTAGGATTGTGCCCTCGTCTGATGCGACAGCGTACGGGGCTGTTGCTTCTGGGGCTTTGGCGCGGGTTCCGATTATGGGCTGTCTGGGGGATCAGTCTGCGGCGTTGGTTGGGCAGAAAGGGTTCTCACCTGGAATGGCGAAGAATACGTATGGCACTGGGTGCTTTCTTTTGTACAATGTTGGTGACAAGCTGGTGTTCTCGAAACACGGGTTGCTAGCTACCGTGGCTTACCACTTTGGTGGAAAGCCTGTATATGCGCTTGAGGGGAGCATTGCTGTTGCTGGATCTGGGATCAAATTTTTACAGAATAATTTGAATTTTTTCCACGAGTCTAAAGAGGTCAATGACCTTGCATACTCGGTGGAAGATAATGGTGGATGTGTGTTTGTCACTGCGTTCAGTGGACTTTTTGCACCTTATTGGATTGATGACGCGAAAGGAACCATCTGTGAGTTTCTCATTACCAGGCTGTTATATTATATTAAGTCTGACAGAGTATGCAGTTGGTATCACCCAGTACACCCAAAAGGGCCATATCGCACGCGCTACCTTAGAGGCAACTTGCTTCCAGACTAAAGCAATTCTAGACGCAATGGAGAAAGACAGCGGCCATACACTCTCCGAACTGGCTGTAGATGGGGGTATGAGTAACTCAGACCTAGCAATGCAGGTAAAAAAGCATACTCTCTTGCACGTGTGAGTATTTGAACAAGAACTAATCTGATTAAAATATAGACTCAAGCAGATGTGATATCCATCCCCGTCTACCGCCCAAAGATGCGTGAGACTACAGCTCTCGGTGCAGCCATTGCAGCTGGCCTTGCTGTTGGACTTTGGCACAACTTTGCCGAGCTGCGAGATATCAATCGTTCCGGCGGTACGGTCTTTGAGTCCCAGGTCCCGCGACAAGAGAGTTCTGCTAAATTTGCACAATGGGAAAGGGCTGTGCAAATGAGTAGAGGCTGGGTGGGATCTAAGATAGCCGAGAAAGGAGAAGCCGCTGGCCTGAAAAACGAGACCTACGCACCGATGAAGAATCATGTTCTCCCGCCCAAGGTAGCACGAATCTCAGATAGCTCCTTAATCTCACATGTGGTTAAGAGATCTACATACACTACGGGTGTGAAAGGGAGGGCCCATATCTCGGTCAAGGAGATCGACGTCCCACCTCTACCTGTGCAGACGGCCCTGGGGAGTGTCTTGGGTGATTTGGATGATGCGGACGAAGAGGATTTGTTTTTGGAGCTACGGAAAGTAGAGATTTTGCAAAGACTGAAGAAGCTACGGAAGCGACAGTCAAACTGCCACTAATTGTATTCTTATTCCTAATATGGTCACGAGTTTATTAGATCACACATGAATGAACATAATGTACGAACAATATATACTTCAACTTGCTACAAAAGTTCAAAGAAGGACATAGATTCGGATCTGAGAGATATCGCGCTGTAATTCAAAGAATCAACCACAGCTCAAGAAACACTTGCCTTAGCGACACGACACTGTGCGCAGCCTATTCACCCTCCTTGAGGAAAACGCAATTCAACTCGGAGCCAGGGCTAAGTGTAACTTCGAACTGAAGCTCTGGATCTTCGACTTTATCCTTCCCACCAACCGACAGCGCAATAATGCGCTCATAAGCCTGCAAAATCCGAATAACAGTGTATCCCATTTCAATGATAGCGAACTGCTGCCCAATACAAATCCGCGGTCCCCCATTAAACGGAATAAAATGCCACGGCCTGGGCTGCCAGCCGGAAACCCACCGTTCAGGAATCCACTCCCCGGGATTGAAGTATTTCTCCGATCCCGGGCCGTCATATAGATCAGGGCCCCGCTGCATCAACAGCGTCGAGTAGATGACCCGCGTGTTTGCGCGCACACCCACAGGCGCTAGTCCATCCGGCCCACCGCCACGTGGGAGCGTCGTATCGCGCAGAGAGTGGCGCACGTTGAATGGCACGACTGGATATAAACGCATGGTCTCGTGCAGCACTGCATTGAGGTACTTCATTTCCTTAAGATCGGTGTAGCTGTGTTTCTGGGCACTGGCGCCGACGCCAAGTCTGTCGCGAATCTCGTTGCGCAGCTTGGCGACCACTTCTGGGTTGCGCGAAAGCTCGAAGAGACAAAAGGATAGTGTGCCGGCTGTTGTATCACGACCTGCGAGGAGAATGGCGACGAGTTGGTCACGGAGGACGCGGGGATCGCGGGTGAACCTGGCTAGGGCGTCGAGGAAGGTCTCCTGGGTTGAAAGTTTTTTTATTAAGTTCGTCGGCTGAATGAGAGAGGACGGTTTGGATGTATGGCTGGATAAACTCGTCCATGATCTTGAGGTTCTCGCGGAATTCGGTGCGTGACATGGCGAAACTAAAGACTCTGTTTTGAGATTGAGTGTTAGATTAGGTTCAGCGAGGCTCCAATGACAGACGATGGTGGCGTCGCACAGGATCGAGTATCACTCACCCGAAACGGAAGTACTCCGCTTGACGCTATTGAACATATTTGAACGCTTCCGCAAACCGTGTTGCCGGATTATCTAGACTGTCTGTACCATTGCCGAGCAGGTAGTCTGTTGCTGCATCGAGGGTATATCGGAAGAAGAGCGACCCGACGTCTACTACCTTGCTGCTGCTGGGAGAGTCACTACCGCCGAGAAGTGGGATGAGTTTCTGAACATGTTTCTCGAAGATTTCTGTGTCGACAATGCGGTCACGCACAAACATGGGACGAATGAGCTGGCGGGAGCGAGACCATAGTTCCCCGTCTGTGATAAAGATGCTGTCGCCGAGGAACTCCTTCCACTCCTGATGGGAGGACTCACCCTTACCGTAGTCAGCGAACTGGCGGGTGAGGAGTGCCTTGATATTTTCTGGGTCCTTGGTGATGATTGTTCGGGTGGAAATTCCAGCATCGAGTTCGGCTGTCTTCACATTTGTTAGGCCGCCTGCTTGCCTGATCTTTGCATCCCAGAATTCTATGAGGCCGTTGACTTGATTGGCTTGGTAGTCTTGGAACATGAAGTCAAGAGCGTATGGGAGACGGAACTCAATTTTGGGGGCTCTGAGACCGAGACGGGCGATTTGTGCTGAAGCTTGGAATTTGCGGAATACGCAGAATGCAACGAATAGCCCTAGAAGCCATAGCGAGGCCCGACTGAATGTCGTCTTCTCAAGGATGTCTTCAATCATGGTGCCGCTGAACTGGACTGGGCTGAGTTGAGGGTCTGGTTTTGGTTTGTGTCTTCGAGGGGACACGTTCAGAATAAGAGAAAAAAGAACTGATATGTTGCATAACATATGACAGGGAAGACTATTTTATGAAGGCGGACTTGTCAAACAGCGTGGACCATACGGGTTGCAGCGTTTACGAATCCGAGAACACAGCCATCCTCTCTTTCTAGAATATAAATGAACTTGTAGTGTCCAATGATGTGTTTTTCCCATATCCCAAAGAGGTGTAGGAGGATGGCTCAAAGGAGCGATGCTTGCGAGCCCCGCATTATGTGACTTCATGCTTCGTTTATTGATCCCTCTTTTGTCTTTGATATTGCCATAAGGGAATGGGCTAGACATAGATCCCCACCAGGTCCATTGTGATCCCGGTTTCATACTGTATAATTATCGTAGGGACACCGACGAAGATGCCGTATGAAGACACGACACCTCGGTAGACAGGGTTTGGCGGCATAGGGAGATCGACAACACTTTCCAAGGTTGTGGATATGTGGGCTGCAGCCACATAAACATCCCTGCACTGCATAACTAACTATGTTGTATGTGCACATGTCCTTCATGAAGGCCTAGTTAAGTATAAGACGCCTGATACTTCAGGCCTTGAGCATTCAGGCCTTAGGCTACAGCTGTAGAAAGCCTCGAGACCCCTGGCTGTACAATATACATACAACATTCGGAGTACGGAGTAGTTAAGGGAAAGGAAGACCAATGATGTGCGTAGTTAAGGGGAGCTAGTGGACCTATTAAGCCTTCACGTGATCTAGTGGATCATCGCTCTTTAACTGTTCTCTCACGGGTACTTGCCTTACGACAATTTTAAGACAATTTCCCTTCTCGGATATCAGTTGACCGATAAGTTCTTTGTCTAGATACTTCTCATTGTGTATAGAAACCATTAAACCCATTCACAACAACTCAATGGCTTGGTAGTGGAACAATGGCCATTGTGAATATACAAACTAGTACTAGTGCATATGTAGAACTTTAGTACATAGTCGCAAAATCAACTCCTTATGTCTTCCGACAGCTCAAACCTGTTCACCTCTTCTATCTGACCCTTCAGATAGGATTCAACAATAGGAGTAAGGGCTCTTCGAGCTGATACCAAATCGACCTTGACGGCCCTGTGGTGCATTGTACTGCCCCACTTCACCGCTGGCCAGCCACAGCCACGTGATCAAACATCCGTTTTGGTCGCCCGGGTCTTTAGCTTCACTTCAATCTGCTTGCTAAAGTCCTGCTTTCTCTACCAGAACCTGTTACTGGTCTATTAAACTCACTTGTGACCCCAACCGCTACTACATCCCGTTTTCATCGCATCTTCATTGTTAGTGGCGCCGATAAGATCCGAAACGCCTTTATCGGGTGGCGCAAGTTCTTTTATCAGCAAAGCTCTCTCTTCGTGAATTTCTCACCAACCTGTCACTTTTTCCTAACTTCACAATCGCCTTCGCCATGATGCCTCAAATCGTTCTCGAGACGCCTCTTGCGCAAGCAGTCGCAAGCGTCATCCAGCCGAAATTGGTGGAGATGGGTTGGAGTGATGGCCAAGAGTCACCACTGATCGAATACATCGTTCTCATGCTAGTCAACGGCAAGACCGAGGAACAAATTGCCACTGAACTTTCAAAAGATTTCCTTGGCCTCCAGGAAGGCGATACTGCGGCCCTCGAGTTTTCACAATGGCTTTTCACTCAAGTCGAGACGCTTAACCAACAAATTAATGGGGTTGCTCCAGCCTCGACCGATGCTACCATGGGACAGTTGAACCCCTCGGCAATGGAATTCGATAACTCAGCTCAAACGATGCCCAATCCGTTTGGAGAGACCAATGGCCAGGATGCTGAGATGGGCGAGGCCGGAAACGAGATGTGAGTTTTTACCGTGCCTTTCTGCTGATGTTTACAACATGCTGACAGTGCTCCTCAATAGCCCCACAGGACCGAAAGCGATGCGTAACGGTAGAGGCGGCAAAGGAAGAATGTTGAACCAAATCAATCGAAACCTGGATCGTGGCTCGGATGCAGCTCTACATCGTGTGCGCGGCCAAGGAAACGGGCGCATTGGTCACAATGGCCGGGGTCAATTGAGAGGCGTCGGCCAGCAAAATGGTCGCGGTGGCCGTGCCATGGGAATGCCAGGCGGCCCCATGATGCAGATGACCCCGGAAAACCAGATGCAGCTTATGTCGATGTTGGAAGAACAAGCCCGGATGATGTCTCAATTCATGCCTGGCTTCATGCCACCCGCTGTAAACCCTGCATTCCAAACTGGTTCCCAGAATGGCTCTCAAGGTCGTTCGCTCTTCAGTCGGGTCGAGCGAGGTGGCCAGCGTGGAGGAAAGCGCAGTTACAACAAGTCGAGAGCGGCAGAAGGTGCAGACGTGGATATGGACAGCACAGCGGGTGGTGAACAAGACGAAAGCAACCCCGACAATGTTTGTCGCTTCAACCAACGATGCTCGCGCCAGGATTGCCCGTTCGCCCATCAATCACCTGCCGCTCCCGAAGGTACTTCAATCGATCCTTCTGATACTTGCTCATTCGGTGCAGCTTGCAAGAACAAGAAATGCACCGGACGCCACCCTTCACCAGCAGTGCGATCTGCTCACCAGGCAGAGGCCATGTGTCGGTTCTTCCCTCACTGCACCAACCCAACTTGTCACTTCAAGCACCCGAGTATGCCAGTCTGCCGCAATGGAGCCGACTGCAAGACCGAAGGATGCAAGTTTACACATGTCGAGACCGCCTGCAAGTTCAATCCCTGCCTGAACCCGAAGTGCACCTACAAGCACGCCGAGGGTCAGCGCGGTGCTTACGCTGACAAGGTGTGGACTCCGCGCTCTGCAGAGCATGTCAGCGAGCGCAAGTTTGTTACGGATTTGGATGGACCGCAAGAGTTGATCAAGCCGGAGACCGAGGAGAACACTCAGAGTCAGGAGCTGACCGCGTGACTCCGCCTGACATGACACCCAATGAATGAAGAAAAATCACTGTTCAAAAACCGAAACCAAAAAAAAAAAATAACACATATCCCACAACAGTCTGTTTCCGAAGCGAAGAATACCATGTACAACCCGATCTTGATCAACGAACGAGGAATGGCTGGAGCGAAGGGCGTTGATACTCTTTATGCATTTGCTTTTGTTTCAGATACTATTTTCTGTCCTGTTCATAGATTCCCCCTCTAAAAGAATAATACCGAAGCGAAGACAAATTCGCGAATGTCTCATGAACCATTGTGCGGGCTCGTAGGATTGTTGGAAAAAGTGAGCTGGAGGGCTCTTGGTTAGTTAGGGCTCCCGAGGTCCCCGCGTAGCTTAAGTAAGAACGGAAGCTTCCGAGGACCTTCGGTTTAGCTTCAATTCTCCGACCAACTGCGAACCGGACCTTACGATCAGCAGATATGCGGCTACCATGTGTCTCTAGAGCACTGAGACCAAGACGAAGGCAATTGACTCATCTCCTCAATGGTCAAAAATGCACATACTCAGCCGTCGTGCTTGGCGGTGGCATCACAGGACTCACAGCCGCCTGGCAACTCGCGCAAGACCCCATATGCAAATCGATCACCTTGTTCGAGAAAACAGACCGGCTTGGTGGTTGGATCGATTCTGAAACAGTTCCTGTCGATGGTGGCAATGTCGTGTTCGAGTATGGGCCGCGGACTTTAAGGAGCTCGCTCCCAGGGTCACTCCCTCTGCTTTACCTGGTGAGTATTGCTCGCGTGTGCATGCTCCGAATTGCAGTGCCTTGATATGCTGACCCCACTGAAAGGCGACAAATCTAGGCTTGTACAAAGACCTCATTGTTACCCCGAGCACGAGCCCCGCGGCCCAGAATCGCTATATTTACTACCCGGACCGTCTCGTTCGTATGCCGGCGCCGAAGCCTGAACTTTCTTTTGCGGAGAACTTCGACAGCTTTGTGAATACTATGATGGAGCCGCTATTTAACAAATTTCTTTCAGGGATAGTGAAGGATGTCTTCACTCCACCCCGCCACCCAACTGAATGGGCGGAAGATGAGTCTGTTGCGGACTTCATCGGACGTCGTTTTGGCCCCAAAGTTGCAGATAATATAGTCTCCGCTGTGTACCATGGGATTTATGCTGGTGATATCGATCAATTGAGTGCCCAAACACTGTTGGGGAGCGTCCGCAACCTTGAGGGAGGTATTGGGGGCATCGGTGGGTTAGTTTCTGGTGGAGTTACGGCCTCTCTCATCTCCAGGTCGCTCTCCAAAACGAAAACTCGGAATATGGAAGACTTTATGGCTATAGACGCCATTTCTGCAGGCCCTGAATTAGTGCGCCGTCAGCATGATTTAGAAGTCCTCGCAGCTGGAGCTAGTACTTTCACCTTTAAGAGGGGAGTTGGCCAGCTTACTGAAGCACTGGTCGCTTCATTGAAAGCATCTGGCAAAGTCCGCTTCCAAATGAACAAGGAAATCACAGGTTTGCGTGCATTGGCACGTGCTCCTGCGATTGCGGTATGTGAATTATTCTGCCTTGCTATGCGATACCCCTAAGCCCCAAAGCCCCAAAACTGATGCTGACTGTCAATAGATGGAATTCTGGTCAGACAGGTACAGCCAAGTCAAGACCTTTGAGTATGACTATGTCATCTCCACCATTCCTCCAGTTGCACTTGCGAAGACCATGCGGAAAACCGAGCAGTTAGAAGCCAAGCTGTACCCTGTCGGCTTGACCCCATTACTGCTACGAAGACAGGACTATGCCGTGACCGTAATAGTCGTCAATCTGTATTACCCAAATCCCAACCTTCTACCCGTGGAGGATGGCTTTGGATACCTCATACCGCGTTCGATTCCCTACGAACAGAACCCAGAATGTGGACTTGGCGTCATCTTCGCCTCGTCCTCTAGTGTAGGGAACGGGACAGATCCTTCATCATCTGAAGTCAACCAAGATTCCGCACCTGGAACGAAACTCACCGTCATGCTAGGTGGACATTACTGGGATGGCTTCGAAGAGTATCCAGACCACGACACCGCAGTGAAAATGGCCCGCGACATGCTCAAGAGACACATGAATATCACTGATACCCCGACTGTCGCACGGAGCCGTCTCCAGAAGGATGCTATTCCCCAGTACACAGTCGGCCATCTGGATCGCATGTATAAGCTCTCGGACACAGTTCGCAAAGATTACCAGAAGCGGCTTATTCTCGCTGGAAATTGGTATAATGGCGTAAGTGTGGGCGACTGTGTCAAGCAGGGTATCTTATCTGCCACCTACGGCATCGGAAGAAACCGGCTCAACTACGAGCCCAGTCCATGGCGTCCGTGGACTTCGTTTGATTATAAACGCTGGAAACTTGAGGGTGGCATTGTGATGTCTCCTGTCCGTCTTGTTGACTCCAAAATCTGATGCTTTGTGACTAGTCCAAGTGGCTTTGCTACTTGTACTTGGAAATGTACACCAGAGAAGGCCAAAGCGATGTATAGTAAATGTATGAACGAAACAATATATTTCTCGTTGAGAGTTGGAAATCGACGGTATTGGCCGGATATCAAATGTTCAATCTCTAATGTCTAATTCACTGCCAGCCCATGGTCGGTTAACCTAAGGCTAAGAGTTGATCCATTTGTGAAGTCTGTTACCATCCTCGGTCCTGGTCCTAAATCAGGGTCAAGGGCGAGAGCACCCATACTCCCGATCGAGGAGACGGCAGGGAGATGTGACAGCATCCGAAATCTCCCACAGGCGAAGCGATGGGTGATTGGAAGGCTGAAACCAGTTCTAATGTCCCTTGCCATATAGGTGACGATTCTCACCCACCTACTTCCAACCACTTGCCACAATGATGCAGGATAGTTTGGTGGCTCCCGGGGTGCTTGCGGGAAGCCCTGATGAATGATATGCACATTGACATATACTCGACACACGGATATGGAATATTGAATCTGATCTTACCCCGCGTCTGAGGGTTCAAAAAGGCATTCAGGCATTCCCATTGCTGTCACCAATCTTCTTGTCACCATTGGAATCAAAGCCCAATACATCCAGCTGCCGGACAAGTTCTTGAATTTTGATGACTTTCTCCAACTGCTCGGGCAACAGCGCCTCTCCCAGCTGCTTCTTATCGCGAAGATCTCGCGCCTGGCGTAGTTTCTTCTTCAGACTGCGAGCTTTCTTCTCCTTCTCGGCTTCGAGATCAATCGGCTCTTCAGCAGGCTTGTCTTCCTTAGGTGCGGGTGCGGGGACACGCCAGTTGTTCGACTCCGCGCCCTTGCCCTCGGCGGTGGGCCCGGCTTCGTCGGTTTCCTTCGCATTCCGCTTGGCCTCGCGGCGTTTAGCGTTCTTGTTGCTGGCGGCAGTGGCGGCGGCAACTGTGGGTTTCGCTGCGGTCCTGGTCTTGTCGTCTTCGCTGCTCAATGCTTCCGCTCCCGGCACCCCGCCTTTTCCGCGGGTTTTCCATGCTGCCGCTGCCCGGTTTTTGTATAGTTCGACATCCTCAGGGGGCTTGTAGCCGGGGCGCACGCGGATCTCCTTGCGTTTAGAACCGTCGGCACGGACTGACGAGGGAATGTATCGTTCGCCGGTCTGGGCATCGGTGGTGATGCCGGACCTGGCGACGTTGGAGGCCATGGTGCGGTTTGTAGGGTTGAACTAATGAACTAGTAAAATATGAGATGTCCGATAGCAACTTGACAGAGTCAAGCTCCGAGGCAAAGATCGGTATCTTTAAAGATCCAAAGAGAAAAACAACGCGAACATTGAAAGTTGAGTGCGGAAGGCCGGAGGCTCGGCCAATCAGCGGACCGGCAATTCCCGCAGATTCAACCTTCGCAACTTCAACCTCACAACTTCAACTCTCGCTGCCTCATACTCCTCTTGAATCCTTTAATTTAGATCGTTGAAAACGCCCCAATCTCTCACAATGGCTGGTGTATGTCTATACTCCCTCTTCCATTGCTCCTATTTGCATTACTACGTCCGGTACTAATTGACCTCTCGCATCACAGTTCGCAAACGTTATCTACTCGCATGTCTCCCTTTCCTAGGTCCTACGATCGCAACTGAAACGGTCCAATTGAAATCTAACCGACGCATTCTTTGCTCTGTTTAGGACCTTCATTCGCAAGAACACTGTTCTGCTGACCACTGCTTTTGCCGGTGCCTTCGCTTTTGAGCTGTGGGTTACATCCAGTCCTCGAGCATGTCAGACATGCTGTACAGCTTAATACAGAAAACTAACCATGCAATGTCAAAACAGTACCTTCGACATCGCCTCCAACAAGGTCTGGGACACCTGGAACCACGGCGTATGTGAACCTCTTTCCCGATGGACCGTCTACAATACCCGAGGCGAGGACCCAAGCTGACTATTTCTCTCACTTTATAGCGCCAATGGAAGGACATCAAGCACCGTTATATGGTTAAGGACGAGGAAGATGACGAGTAAATGGACTCGAAAGTGATTGGGTACTATACCGCGGGTAAAGGGGCATGGAAAAGCCAGTGAAGCTCGTGCCTGTTGTTTCTCATCCCATCTGTGGGCTTGTACGTGATAGATGGAAATCTGTATTTTGACTACCAATCCCTGGTTATACGTAGAAAGGCCCTCTGTATGGTTTACACGTTTTATCGCCTTGGTGTATCGTACATATTAGAGTCTACATACTCCATGCTGTTATTTATTATCCTTGATGGTTATAACACCAAGAAGAAAGAGATATATAAATAGGTTTTAAAAGAGATCTACCAAGACATCTAGAAAGACATTGAAATGTTCTTACATATAACGTCCCCAGGTAAGGTCATCTTCGACCAAATAGATCAGATTGATAAAAGTTTACATCCTTAAGTACAGAGGCCACAGAAGCAGCCAACTGCTCTCTCCTTTATACCTTCAAGTCTTCAAACCGTGGCGTGTTTTTCTGTACATATGTAACTATATGTACCGGACTTTCCCTGGCGGGTGGAGATTTCCTATTTGGGCTGCCGCCGCTTTAATGAGGGTTGGTTTTTCTACAGAAAAACCAGCCTAGTCAGTCACGTGACCCAACTGTATCAGAGATGAAAAATGACAGTATTCCAAGGTTCATCCTAGATTCTGACAATATGTAATACTTAATTGCAAGATAACTCCGAATAAATCTCGCTGTAAGCCTCAGATGGCGGATCAACGATCGGACCGATTCGATCGAGGCCGAACTCCGATGGCTCGAACAAAGAACACGATGAGAACGCGATGTAACCTCCCCCATCATTATAACAACACCATATTCCTCATCAGGTATTGTTACTTTATCTCGCTTCATCCCTGCAATGTTAAGTTCTTGGCTTGCTGCGCTATTTGGCGTGGGCTATGCCTCGCAGACCGTGCTGCGACCGGAGGTGCCCTTGACGTCGGACTTCACTACATTTCGGAGCTCAAATTCACCTGCCCACTCGGTGCGTATCCGACAACAAGATCAATCAATTTGTGCGACAGACTCTGCGCAGTACACAGGATGGCTAGACATCGGGCCGAAGCATTTGTTTTTCTGGTACTTTGAAAGCCAGAACGATCCCGTCGGCGATCCGCTCACGCTGTGGATGACCGGTGGGCCAGGGGATTCCAGCATGCTTGGCTTATTCCAGGAGATCGGCCCATGTCTGATCGATGAACACGGCAATGGAACTGTTCAAAATCCCTGGGCCTGGTCACGAAACTCATCTTTACTATTTGTTGATCAACCAGTTGATGTCGGCTTTTCCTACATTGACGAGAGCCACGAGGTCCCGCACGACTCGCAGGAAGCTGCCGCTGACATGCACCGCTTCCTTCAAATCTTTGTCTCTGAGATCTTCCCTCACAAGCGTTCCTCGCCCGTTCATCTTGCGGGTGAGTCTTATGCGGTAAGCATTGCTCCTCAGTCACTGCGTGTTTCTGACTGACTTCCGCAGGGTAAATACATCCCCTACCTTGGTGCGGAAATCGTGACCCAGAATGGGCGATATCCTTCAGAGCCCCAGATCAATCTTGAGTCGTGCCTGGTGGGCAATGGCTACATGTCACCCATGGACACCTTCTATGGGTACTGGGAAACGCTTTGCACTACCAAGCCCGGTGTTCCGACACCTGTGTTCAACGAGACTCGGTGCGATATCATGGCTGCCAACATGCCCCGATGCATGGACGTTGCTAAGACCTGCATTCAAAATCCCGATCCTGCCATTTGCAAGGCTGCTGGCTCTGTTTGCTACGAAGGTATCATTGGGTGGTATGAGAATGAAAGTGGCGAAGGAGGCCGCAACCGCTTCGACAGTAAGAAAACCCTTCACAACATCCAAGGAATGCTTAATTTAATGCAATGACATCAACAGTCACGGCCCCGTGTGAGATCGATGAGCTTTGCTACAAGAAAGCGGGTTACATCCAAGAATATCTCAATTCTCCTGCGGTCTGGAACGCCCTCTCGCCCCCGGACGAGGTCAAGGAGTATAAATTGGAATCCAGCGCTGTGGTTCAAGCATTTGGTACTACACCAGAAGGCATGACGTCTTCTTCCGATGCAGTTGTCTTCCTGCTTTCGCATGGAGTACATTTCCTGGCATACCAGGGAAATCTCGATTTAGCCTGCAACACGGCAGGAACCCTGCGATGGGCCGATTCACTTTCCTGGAAGGGACAGGTCGAGTTTGCATCGACGCCGCTGCGACCTTGGACTTCAACTGTAGCTGGTCACAATGACACAGTTGGCATGACCAAGGAAGTTCGGGTGAAAATAGACACACAGGCAGAGACGGCTTCGCGGTTCGCATTTGTCACAGTGGACGGGGCGGGTCATTTGGTAAGTCCCTTCTGGTTCAAGGTGTTTAAAATTGGAAAAATTCTGATGTTTGATTTACTTTAGCTCCCCCAAGATCGTCCGGATGTCGCGTTTGACATACTGACACGGTGGATCACGGGTGCTCCCTTTTGCTAGCTCTTGATCAAATGATTGAAAGTTCTCTATGTGGCTGCTGTAATATAACAATTTTTACGGTCTGCAGATCCATTTAGAGTTATATTAGAATGCGCAACCGCATCCATGTGTTCTTATTGGCACAATGCAGCGAGAATGGCGAAGTGCAGGGGGGTGGATTGTCACACCGAACAACGGCGTGTCGGGTCAACCTTGGAACTTCTTAAGGTTCAACAAGCCTTTGGGAACATTTTTACCATAGAAAACTCTACATATACAAGTGGTATAGATTGCTAGACCTGGTCTACCCTCAAGTTTAGTTTACATCACCATCTCCCTCTCGTCACACACCACTTGTGGCTTTCCGCCATGGCATTATCTAGCGCCGATATCTGATCGCCTGCAAAATCGTGCCCAAAATCGTTTCCCGGGGCCGAACGCGGTGATATTGCCCAATAGGATACTAACCCTGTAAATACACTAAGGTCATTCATTGGTGGCAAGTGGGCACTCCCTTGGTTTCTTCTAAGGCTGGGGTTTTAGGTCGCCGTAGTGTAATTTCAATCTATGGAAAAGAGAGAGCGTTAATATCAATCCATTATATTTTGAATTCGTAATTGTTGTGATATGAGGCAGAATCAAGTTGAATGGAAATCAACTTGGTCTTCTCGCTGTATATATAGAGCCTTACGTATCCCCTCGGAAAGAACAAAAACAATGTTCCTTCCGAACTACAACAGGTTATGAGCCCGAGAGCAAACTCTCGGGTTCCGTCTCTACTCATCTGAGAACAATCTTCACCATTCTTGATTATATATCTACGCCGCTTTCACTATCATCATGTCGGCTCTGGCCCACGACTCGCCCGATCGAGTGGTCACGGCCATCGAACCTCTGACAGGAAGCGATAACTTCGCTACCTGGAAACGTCTCATGACCTCCTACCTATACAGCATGGTAAGCCGAAAGTTCGTTGCAAGTCGTCCATTCTTCTGACTCGTCGTGACATCCCAAGGTGGACCACCACAGTGGAGTATTACCACCCATGTCCTTGCATTTCACGGAAGCTTTCGTTCGACGCAGCAACAGATCTACCACTGCGAGATGTCCACCTATTGCAGCTGCATGGAGCGGCGTACTGTTTCTTCGGTCCAGCGCACCATAATCGATGGACTTTTTGTCAAGAAGTAGCTTGACGGCCGATAGATTTCCACTAGCAGCTGCGAGATGCAAGGCCGTTCTTCCTTGGTGATCCACTATACCAACATTTTCTCCCCGGCGGAGCCGCGTTTATAAAGCGCCAGGGTGGGGCTAATAAATGAAGTAATCCTGGGAGCAAATGTTCGTTTGGAAGATTGATAGGTCAACAGGCTATACGGTCATTTGCTACTTGGATAGGAAGAGATCGTTAGAACGAACGGTCGCGTTGACGACGCCGGCACTTTTTTGATGGGAAGATGGGGGCGGTTTGGAGAGGTGGAGCGCACGTGATGAAACTAAAATGTCGCATTTTATTGATGTAGTTTACTCAGTGCGTTCAATCTTCCACTCTGGTCTTACTCTGTGAGCAAATCGGAGAGCTCATATGATGATCTGTGAGTGGATCAAAATGCTCATGTGACTATCACAAGATGCTGATCGGCTTATATAATGATCTGTGAGCGGATCAGAGTGTTCAGGGGCGTGCTCAATTCTACTCTGAGATCAAAAAGCGGCAAGAGGTGAGCACTAAAATGGAAGGGGAAAGGTCTCAAGTGCCAGGCATTATCGATACATATGTGGTGATAAGGCCGTAGCGTGGCTGTGGCGTTTACTGACGGACCGGTTCCATCGATGTCATAGCGAAAAATGTTACCTTCCGGTCTCTACAAACAACTCTCAAATTGATTTCTTCTTGTATATTTTTGGCCTGTTGGACCTTGAGCTTTGTATTCAAATTTCAAACGCGTATGACTTCACCGTATCTGTGCTCATCTGTTCGCCTGCATTGGTCCACTTCACCCGTTGCTCTCACCTTTCCCCCACCACAAAGTATCATCGTGTGAGCAACGTGAACCACACTTGAGAACCATATCGACTCAATCCGGACCGATCCCTTGAATCCTCATTTGAAAATTCTTTTCCCGCCTGCATAGCCGCGAAGAAACCACCTGCGTCGGACCATTACTACCTCGAGCGCATTGTCGCGACAACGGCGCTCTGTCCCATCACTTCCTTGTGATAGCCTGCGCGACGGCAAGCAAGCCACAACAACAGATCATGCTCATGCTCGGGGAATGTGAGAAACTGCTCGGTGATGGTCTTCTCCGTTTGCCCAAGAAACACAACTTCCGCTATGGCCCCGCTGCCGAGAAGGACCTGCTAGAGCTTCTCTTCCGATCGCTTGTCGGACACAACACAGAACTAATACAACAGCTGTTCCCAGAGGGAACTCCGGCCGGACCATGGAAACTAGCGGAGGCTCAAGGTGCCCGGGAAGGAGCTGAGTACAGTGAGGCAGCACGGGGCAAGCGCTGCGGTCATATCTTCCGTGCTGGGGAAGCCACATACCGATGCGTGACATGTGCCGCAGATGATACGTGCGTGTTGTGTAGTCGATGCTTCGATTCCTCGGATCACACTGGGCATCAATATCAGATTTCGCTTTCCTCCGGAAACTGTGGCTGCTGTGATTGTGGTGATGACGAAGCATGGCGCCTTCCGCTATTTTGCGCCATTCATACCGATAGTAGTAATACCAAGGGAAAGGAACGAGCGCAGCGGGCATTGCCTTCGGAGCTTGTGGCTTCAATTCGCTTGACTATATCCCGTGTGCTCGACTACTTCTGTGATGTTATCTCTTGCTCCCCGGAGCAATTGCGGCTGCCAAAGACTGTCGAGGGCATTAGGCAAGATGAGGAGGCCTCTAGATTGCGTCCGGACTGGTATGGCGCTGGCGATGAAGAGGAAGAAGAACCTGAATTTGCGGTCATGCTGTGGAATGACGAGAAGCATACAATTCGCGATGTCTCTCACCAGGTCACACGTGCTTGCCGTGAACGAGATAGCTTCGGCCTTGCACGGGCTCATGAAACGAACGATATGGGCCGCAGTGTCATAAAGTATTCGAGGGACCTGAACAGACTCTTAGGGGTTTCTAAGATAATCGAGGAAATCAAGGTTACCGTCACGGTGCGCTCTGCGCGGGATACTTTTCGCGAGCAAATGTGCACAACAATAGTCGAGTGGTTGGCTGATATTGCTGGCTGCGAAATCCTCGAGGACAATGAGATTTTCAGACAAACCATCTGCGAGGAAATGCTTATGCCCTGGAAAAAGGGCAGTGGGGGATATAACGAAGATATCGGCATGAAGGGCATTGACGATCATCAGCGGACTGAGAACCTTCCAGGTCGCACGCTGATGATTAATTTGCCTAATCATGGCCAGGTCCTCTTGACCGCCGACGAAGACGAAGACGAAGACGAAGACGATATGCTTGATGACGATGCTATAGACGAAGATGAAGACGAAGACTATGTCGAGGCCCACGATGCTGATGATGAAGATGACGACGAGATGGACATCGAACTTTCTCGTGACCGGGAAGAAGATGAAGATATGATCTTAGCAGATGCAGATGAGGAACTTGCTCTAGCAGAGCGCATTCTCGCCGGACTCACTGGCACCCAGCCACCACCCCGACCAGCACTGAATCAAACCGCAGATCGGTCCTCTACCGAACGAGGCCCGTCCGCATCTCAAAGTCCTGGCCCTGAATCCGCCCCTACAGGTTATATCCCCATTCCCAAGACTCCTGGTTCGTACCGACAACGGCCTTCGAACACGGATAGCCACTGGCAAGTCCGGCCGCCCATTCCCGCCCCGGGCGAAGAAGTACCTCCGTATGAAGACTTGTGGCAGCGTACTCGCCTAGACTGGCTGGTGCTGTATGACTTGAGGCTGTGGAAGAAGACACGAACAGACTTGCGTGATCTCTACATCAGCACTGTTGTCAATGTTCCTCAGTTCAAGCGCATTATGGGTCTTCGTTTGTCTGCGTTGTACACGGCTCTGGCTCAACTGTACCTCATCGCGGATCGAGAACCGGACCACTCGATTGTCAACCTTTCATTGCAACTTCTCACGACCCCCTCCATCACTGAGGAAATTGTCGTGCGAGGCAACTTCCTCACGAAGGTGATGTCCATTCTCTACACCTTCTTAACCACGAGACAAGTCGGCGAACCACAATCCGTCGACCCCAACGCCACCCTGGCGTTTGATGCCGGCTCAGTTACAAATAGACGTCTCTACCACTTCTTCCTTGACCTGCGATACCTTCTCCAATCTGAATACGTACAGCATCGTGTGCGGACCGAGGAACAATACCTTCCTCAATTCCTTGACCTTGTCAAGCTGTCACAGGGTATTTGCCCTAATGTCCGCGCTGTTGGTGAACACGTTGAATATGAAACGGATGCTTGGATCAGTGCGTCAATTCTCATGCGGGAAATCAACCGACTTTGCCGCCAATTCTGCGAGTCTTTCCGCGACCCTGAAATTGACAACGATGACAACCTTCTGAGGGCAATTGAGACCACCACTACTACAGCGATTATCCATTCAGCTGGTGTAGAACGCAAGCGGTTCGACCAGGCAGAAATAAAAGATGAATTAAGATTCAAGCTACTGCCACCTTTTGACTTTGAGGTCGGCACCTCTGGTCAAGTGCCCTGCCATCGGGTGGTTGAATTCGTGGTGGAACGTGGATCTATCAGTTTCCACCATGCCCTCCACTACACATTGTCGTGGCTTATTGAATGCGGACGAGATATAAGTAGCGAGACTATGCGTGGCGTGCTCTTTGACGCTGCCAATGCGGCGAGGAGTGAGATTCATGCCGCTCGGACTGCTAACCCTAGTAGTATCGATGATATCTTGCTTGCCCTTGGACCCGAGGACTTGCTCCTGGCTATGTTTGACTATCCACTTCGAGTTTGCGCTTGGCTGGCGCAGATGAAGGCTGGCATGTGGGTTCGGAATGGTCTCAGTCTTCGGCATCAGATGTCCCAGTACCGTGGAGTCTCTTCTCGTGATTTTGCATACTACAGAGATATCTTTCTTCTCCAGACTGCCTTAGTCACATGTGATCCTAGCAGAGTTCTTGCTTCTATAGCACACCGCTTTGGCATGGTTGAGTGGATGGCTCGAAATTACATGCCCCGTCCTGGATACGAAGATACCCAGATTGTGGATGTGGCAGAGGAATTTGTTCATCTACTGGTGATTCTCCTGACGGACCGAACATCTCTGACTGCCATCGATGACAGCATTCATCTCACCCACGAAAACATCAAACGTGACATCGCTCATGTTTTATGCTTCAAGCCGCTGTCTTTCTCCGACCTCTCGACCCGCCTTAGTGACAAGCTTCTGGACTCAGACATGTTCCAAGATGTGTTGGAAGACGTCGCCAACTTCCGCCCGCCCGAGGGCTTAAGTGACTCTGGTACTTTTGAATTGAAGCCCGAATATCTCGATCTTATTGATCCATATAGCGCACACTATACAAAGAACCAAAGAGATGAAGCAGAGAATATCTACAAGGAATGGATGGCGAAAAAGACAGGAAAGAATGCATCTGACATTGTTTTTGAGCCAAAACTTCGACCCATCAGCTCTGGCGTGTTCTTAGATCTCCCTCGATTCGCCGGAACAATGCTGTTTTCACAGATTGTTCATCAATGTTTGGAATACGTTATCTCTGCAAAAGAGTGTACACCAACCATCCCATCGACGCGCGTTGAGACATTCCTTCAAGTGATTCTGCACCTTGTCCTTGCAGCGGTATTGGAGGATGATTCCGAGGAAACTGATATGGTAGAAGACCATTCCAACTCATTCAACTGGAATGCTTTGTCAAAGACCCGAGAGATCAAGGCTGGCCACTTGACCATTGTCGGTTTATTGGAAAGAATCTCCGTCACGAGTGAATTCACTGCATCTGGCCCTAAAATCCGACACATACTCAAACGTCTGTGGCAAAAGCGCCCTCGCACATATTCATCGGCAACTGCGTCTCTCAAATTTCCCTTCGACCGGATTGACACCAATTCTCCTGCAATTGATGCAGATAACGACAAGGAGATCAAGAAGAAGCAAGCGCTAGAGAGGCAAGCCAAGGTGATGGCGCAGTTCCAGCAGCAGCAGCAACAATTCTTGAATAGTCAGGGTAACATAGATTGGGGCGAAGAAGATTTCAGCGATCTCGAGTCCGATGCAGACGCAACCCCAGAAAAGAAGCTATGGAAATACCCTAGCGGAACATGTATCTTGTGCCAGGAAGAGACCAGCGATTCGAGGCTCTACGGTACATTTGCCTTGGTTCAAGATAGCACGATTTTGCGACAGACCGATGTCAGGGACTCTGATAGAATTCGCGAGGTGCTCAGAACACCAACAAGTTTAGACAGGTCTGCTGAAGAAGTGCGACCATTCGGTGTATCCGGAGAGAACCATACTACCATCCGGCGTCTTGACTCTTCTGGTGGTGAAGTCATTAGTGAAAAGATTGGACTGAGTAAAGGGTTCAACGCGAAGAGCACTATTCGTGGGCCTGTGACTACTGGCTGTGGGCATATAATGCATTACTCCTGTTTTGAGCAGTACTTCTTGGCGACACAGCGGCGACACACCCAGCAAATTGCGCGTCATCATCCCGAGCACACTAATCTCAAGGAATTTGTTTGTCCTCTTTGCAAAGCTCTTGGAAATGCATTCCTCCCAATCACCTGGAAGGGCAAAGAAGAGTCTCCCCTTGTTCCGTTCAGTCCGTCCGAATCATTCGACCAGTGGATTCAATTAGGCCTCAAGCATGCCTTGAACCAACAGCAAAACCTCACAATCCTCATGCAGAAGGAGAAGATTTATCCTCAACCATATACTGACATCTTTATCGACTACTTGTCTAAGACCCTGGTTCCTCCGCTTGCCAATAATATTGATCAACTGAGGGCTTCGTATTTCCCAGCAACTGCCTCTGCACAATACGTCACGCCAGCACGCATGCCAATGCCAGGTGTTTTCCCTCCCACCGAAGACCTCTCCCCTTCCAGCCCACTTCAGCAGGTGTCGAGTCCCTCGGACAGCCCTATTTCGGAACTGCTTCAGAGCTACAGGCGGCTTAAGAAGACACTCACAACAAACCATGTCAATTCGATGTTCAACAACACTCCTGAGGCGAATAACAATGACGATCTTGTACATACTGATTCTCTAATTCGGAGCTTTGGTTTCAGCATTGCTGCAGTCGAGATCGCGCAGCGTGGTGTCGAGTCAGAGCCCGGCTCGACCTTGCTGGACACAATTCCTTCGCTGACGCTTACCCATCTGCGCGTTCTATCCGAGACAGTGTTGACGTATGCTGCCGTTGGGTGTCTTAACTCGTCGGGACCATCAAAAAGCCATCCAACAAATGAATTCCAGGAGATGCATCGCCAAAAGATTTGCCAGCTACTTGTCGGGCACCCTTGTTTGAATGGCACAGCTTTGCTTAATGATGTCCGTAACATCGAGCCTCTGCTAGCTGTGGACACCTTCGTGTTCTTCGCAGAGTCATCCTTGTCTCTGCTCCCAGTCCTCGATATTGATATCAGACATCTTGTGCGAATGTGCTTCGTGGCTGAGATTGTGAAGGTCGCCGTCACTTTCATTCTTTGGCCACTGGGATTAAAGGAGGAACTCGCCACCCACCCCGAGGACCATACTATGGCTGCTGGTATATCTGAAGAACAATTCAGAGTGACCAAGCAGTTCTTCGACTCGGTCGTTACTGAACTGAAGGCGAACTCTGTCGGCCGTGCTGAGGGCTCATCCTTCCCCGCTGAGAGTGGCTACGTCAAAGATGGAGAGGAAACTGCCACCCCAGGCATCATTACGGCCGTCCGGCGACTTGTTACGAGCTACGGACTAGCATTCCTGCGCAAGGCAGTTATTCTTCTTCATGTTCAGCATGGTGTCGAGTTCCCCAACACAGGTTTCGCCGACGTGGAGTCCTCTGAGCTTGAGCGCCTGGCCAAAGCACTCCAACTGCCTTCCCTTGATGAGATTCTCATGTCTGTCAAGCCCGCACGCAATACAAACAGCCCCTTCGACGCAGTCATTTCAGGATGGATCTTCCACTGGAACGCTTCGCGCTCAGGCATTCGCTTCGAAGACCACCGTCTCTGGCCCAGTCTGTCGCACCCTGCTATCTTCGAGCTTGTTGGCCTTCCTAAGTACTTCGATAGCCTGATCGAAGAGGCAAATCGTCGTCGGTGCCCCAATTCTAAGAAGGAGCTCACTGATCCTAGTATCTGTTTATTCTGCGGAGAAATATTTTGCTCACAGGCAGTCTGCTGCATGGTGAACAAGCTTGGCGGCTGCAACCAACATCTTCAAAAGTAATTATACCCGTCCCACTTTGTTTGTGAGTACTTTCCAGCTAACCAGTCTTCCACAATAGATGCGGCAAAAACGTTGGTCTTTTCATCAATATTCGCAAATGCACGGTTCTCTACTTGCACAACACGAACGGATCCTGGCATTACGCGCCCTACCTCGACCGCCATGGCGAGGTTGATCCCGGTCTCCGCCATAACCGCCAGCTTATCCTCAATCAGAAGCGATACGACCGGCTACTACGCGATGTATGGCTGTCACACTCTATTCCTGCGACTATCAGCCGCAAGCTAGAGTCCGAGATTAACACCGGAGGCTGGGAGACTATCTAATGAGCACAAAAATGGGGTTGTTTCTGCTATTGCTGATATGCGTGCGTTTAGATTCCTTACCTTCTTACTTTTGATGTTCGATGGCGAATTTGAAACTATGGTGATTGTGTGTTTAACCGATTTTTTTTTCTTTTCTTTTTCACTGTATATCTGAAATTCTTCTCATTAATAGGTTCACTCGGTAGTTATGATTCAAAAATACCAGGCTATGTTCAACTCAAATTTCGGTTGGATTTGGATATATTAATACCAGTTCCACCGACACAGTTAAAAAGGTCTTTGTTTTGCTGCATATATTCCCTGTTATACTCCTTCTAATGAGTCCTCGACACTCGCATTTCCTTTCTCGCTTCCCCCCCGTAAATGACTCCTACGCATAGCTTCTAGTTGAGGGAGATGACGTTTCTTAGATATATATATGTCTTTTTGTCTTTCTTCTGCATAAATATGTGTGCATAATTGGCTGTGAGAATATATTGATGCACAACAGGCTTTCTAACTATATCCTGGATGCCTATCATCATCAATCTAGCTCACTTGTCGTATATGATTCTGAATGTCTAAATCAGGATTGACTAACTGAGCGAATACCATCGCCGCTCTTAGAGGACTCCGACTAGTGACATTTAGCAGCGCCATATTGCTCAGCACGTTTCTTCGAAGGGACTAGTTGTGACAATGCTTCTAAGACTGACAGTGCGCCAAACGAGGCCAAATGCCCGCCCATATTCACACATAGTTGGCAGTGTCACTTAGCAGGGAAATACTATGAAGTAAACATACTTACCTAAATTGCCTGCATAACTAATGAAAATGCCCTGAGAACCTTGGAAAGCTTGAAAGGTTGGCCGATAGTCTTATCAGTGCCAAGCCGGATCTCCACCTCTTAACATGAGCCTTTCTCAACTTCATTGCAACTTGAGCTCGAGAATCATGAATAACGAGCAGTTTCGCCGGCTACTAGCCGACCAGTCATCATCAAAACCTAAACCCCAGAGCCCAACGCCTGGTCGTGATGCATCGCGTGGCGGCGCAACCCCGGGCGGGTCACTGGGGTCGCGAATGCGGTCCAACATTCCCATGACCCCGTATGTCGTTTACTTTACAGATTGCTATTATTGCGGAGGAAGCTAACAGCTGGAAATACTACAGGCGTTCAGTCACTGGTGTGGACTTTGCCCGTCAGCTCTTCGACCAACGCCGCGAGGGCGACCGACCTTCCAAGCGGTTCAAGTCCTCCGCCGCGCCGAAGGGTACCTCGCTACCGACCGGATATCAGGATCGTGCGAAATTGCGCAATGCAGAGGACGAAGGTCAGAGAAACACGGGTCTGGAGGCGCGCATCAAGGCACTAGAGGATATGGTTAAGTTGGGACAAATCGACCAGGCTACCTTCGACAAACTACGTCGAGACCTTGGAGTCGGAGGTGACATTGGAAGCACACACATGGTCAAAGGACTGGATATGGATTTATTAAAAAGGATCAGAGCTGGCGAGGACGTGTCACAAGCGGCCGAGAAACCTGCGCCGCCTCCCGAAAAAGAAGACGTAGATGAGGAACTCGATCGTCTGATGGAAGAGCAGGGAGCTGAGGAGCTTGCTGCTGCGCTCAAGCAACAGAAAGAAAAGAAGAAGGGAATTATGGCACCGCCACCTGCTAGGCCCAAGACCCGCGATGAAATCCTACGGGAATTGAAGGCAAGCCGCGCTGCTGCTGCCACACCTACCCCGCCACCGGAGTCCATACTCGGCTCGAAATTCAAGAAACTGGGCGATAGAAAGCCCGAGAAGAAGCGCTTTGTGGAGCATGATGAGACCGGCCGTCGACGCGAAGTGCTTCTCATCACCGATGCGCAAGGAAACACCAAGAGGAAGACTAGGTGGCTTGATAAGCCGACCGAAGTGCCTGTACCTACTGAGGGAGAGCTCATGATGCCCGATAAGAGTCTCAAACCCCTTGGCATGGAAATTCCAGCTGATATTGCCGCCCGTGCCGCTGCACAAGTGGCACCCGAGGATGAGGACGACGACATTTTTGCCGGTGTCGGTGATGATTACAATCCTCTCGCTGGACTCGAAGACGATTCATCGTCTGATGAAGACGGCGAAGTGGCAGATTCGGCTACTCGCAAACCCGAAAAGGGTTCTGTGAGTGAAGAGGAGAAGGAACCTGCCGCGTCTAAAACAGCACTTGCAAAGCCCAAGAATTACTTTGCGACTGGGACTTCGACTACAGCAGAAGAGGAGCCTATCGACCGATCCAACCCCCTCACCAAAGATCCAACCATTCTTGCAGCCCTCAGACGAGCTGCAGCCCTCCGGCAGAGCTCTCCCTCGGCAGAGGGCGAAGCAGACGAGTCTGATACAGCCCTTCGTCACAAGCGTTTTATTGAAGAGGCACACCGCCGGGACGCTATGGATGCTGCAGATATGGATATGGGATTCGGAGGAAGCCGCAACGAAGACGGAGATGAGGAGGACGATGGTCCCCTGCTCGACTTTGACGACGACGAGCGAGGCGGGAAAAAGAGAAAGCGTGGCCCCAAGAAGAAGAAGGGCGACAAAGATAGCGTCATAGATGTTATGCGTGTTGTCGAGAGTCGCAAGAAGGAGGCTTCATGAGTGTCATTGCTGCGGATGCCAGGACTTGGGCTCTCCCTTGTCTCCTACATGTACTTTCTATCATGAAATCGACATTTGAAGCTATTTGATACCCTGCTATGCCATGCCTTTTCTACTTAGCTACTAGAAGTCACCTTAAACCGTTGTATTAACCCCTTTCCAATCGCTGTTGGATATCATCCTTAGATACAATCAAGGCGATATACACTCTACATATACACCGGATTTTAGGCCGGGCAAGTTGGATTTCCCTTTCCGTTTTAGTGCTCACCCCTTGCCGCTTTTTGCTCACTGAGTAAAACTGAGCACGCCCCTGAGTATTACGTAATTGTTAGACCCGCTCACTGAGCATCACACGATTATTACATAAGCTAGATGACTCGCTCACTGAGCACGACCTGATTATTACATAAGCTCAAGGACTTGCTCACTGGGCGTCACCTGAGCAGCCTGAGCAAAGTGGGAGAGCAGCTAAGTCAGCAGGTCACCTCAATAAAATGCACCACGCTAGCCCCATCCAAATGCAGTCGTTCACCCAGCACTTGACCGTTGTCCCCTCAACGAAAGGCTGGTGTCATCAATTTGGCGGTCGATCCTGGTTGTTGTGCCTCCACCTGGAAGGCAAATGCACAGTATAGCCACATTATTGGCTTTACTATTCTGCGCCTATGCCACTATTCAACCTCGCCGAGCTCTACATAGTTGCAGAAAATATCCAACCCTCCATTTTTGGTTCTACAATATCTAGGAATACCTCAGAAAACCGCAGTTGAATGGTTTGTAAATCCAGTTTAGTGTTTTATTCTGATTTTTTTTTTGGTTGATTTTTTAACGGACTATCGCTCTTGCTGCCTGCCGCTTGCTCCTAGGAATACGACTTCAGCTCTAGCGATGGACATCCGCAAAAATATTCTAGACCCATCGATCATGCCTACTGGATGATCTAGCCGCCTATGACGAAATTTGCGGCCCCTCATTTGCCTAACATATTCTAACTAGCAATCAGAAAATACCTCATTTCAGTCTATGCTCCTAGGAATACCTTGAAGATCTAGAACCCTTCCCTATATCGGTAACTGGAGGAATTAGTGTTCAGCAGGTGACGATGATGAGCCACTTCTCTCGCTAATGAGCGCACGACCCGAAGGATTTCCTAGGCGTATACCGTCATGTCTTTCACGCCATTGCTAAGTAATCTGTAAGCTAAAGACAAACCATCAACAATAATACCCGATGAGCTCCTGGGAGCCTGCGGTACATTCCCAGGAGCCCACTAAGCTGTATTACTAGAGTCCTAAGGGCCTATAGCTATTTCGTTCGAATCCTAGGAACTCTAAACATTGCCCCCTACCCCTAACATTTCTGCCTAAAGCGATACCATTATATCTAGCCACTTGCTCGAAAACAATAGTCTTCATCATTCCTCTGCTTCCAAACTACTTAACAAAACAAAAAGACCGCTTCTGAATATACCACAGTGAGTTCAGCCTTCATTCACTCGTTGTTCCACATCAACTAACCGTACTCTAGATTAGCATTTATCTCGCGCCTACGATGATACAATCGAACCGATTAACATTACTAGGCCCACTGCCCACGCAAAATCTCGTAGCAGAGCATCTATACCCTTCTAGAAAACCTCAAAGCTACCAAAAGGATAACCGAGGCTTTAACAACAGGACTGTGCCATCGATTGTCTTTCGTTGACACTGCTTCAGGGAGACTGTCATTAGTATTAGGTCAATTAGAACCTAGCAGGCTCAGTCATAAAGTCTAATATCATCTTCGTTTGGCAATCTAGAGCAACGGATATGCTAGGATACTCTTAGAGAATAGACCGAATAGTCGGCAAACGATACTATATACAGATCGGACTGAGACCGTCTTGATTCCTTTAGAGACATAAAAGTGTGACTATTAACAGAATGGCTGTGTCACGATTGGCACTTGAAGAACTCGTACCTTCCCGTTTGGGATCGTACCGTTGGTCGTTCCTTCTCGTTTGCACAAGGCAATCGTACCTTCCTTCTGGGATAAGCGAGGATAGGGTTATGCCCCCGAAGGGGTATAAAGACCCGTTTGTTGTTTTACGTTTTGTTTTGTTTTCTTTTTTTCTTCATACTTGATATTTCGTTAGCAATGCACTTCTTCTGTTAAAGAGAACCTGGCACGTAACAGGCTGCACATATTTGAAAAAACCATATATACGACGATAGAACTCTCTGCGTCGTATATAAAGTTCGGAGCTCTTAATATTAAAACATTCGGCTGACTGATTCACTTCACTAGACATGCTGTTTTTTTTTTCTCACCTCAAAAAGCATCTCCAATAAGGAGAGAAGCGTAGCCTTGGCCATAGAAAATAAAATATTGTTGGCAGTTGTTGAAACAAATAAGTGGCAATATATAATTCAGGATAGGCGACCGGAACTCTAGCGCATCACTCGTAAGATCGAAGAGCAGGCTATAGGAATACAATAATCTCGAAATGTTTTAGGAAGGACTTTTGTCTGAAATCCGTTAGCTACGGAATGGATAAGAATCGAACGCAGCCAGTTATCTCAGTCCCAAGCTGTCCTTAAGGACTAACTCAGACTGTTCATAAGTTTCGAAACCGTCGGTATTCCAAGTTTATCTCTACCCAACTATTCCGTTCGAACAAAACCTAATATGACATTATTATACAGATCCTTCCGATGCCGCAGAGGACAATGACAGCTTTCTTACAATAGGAAGCTATCCCAAAGCCAGACGTGGAAACGTACGTCTTTCAACATGGAAAAACCCAAGAATAAAGAGCGATTGCATGCTATTCGCTCCCAATCCTCTCAAAATCCAATAGAGCAAGAAGGCAGGCTTTTATTAGCTACCCAGGCTATTAAAAATCAAGAAATCTCTTCAATTCGCGAAGCAGCGCGCCAATTTAGTGTACTATTTTCTTCCTTACGGAATCGTCTTACCGGCCTTTCAAATCGCTTCGAAACTCGCGCCAATAGTCATAAATTGACTAAAACGGAAGAAAAATCGCTTATACAATGGATACTCTCAATGGATTCACGCGGAGGAGCCCACCGGCATGCGACTGTACGGGAAATGGCCAATATTTTACTCGCGGGGCGTGGATCTACCCCGGTTCAAACAGTCGGCCTAAATTGGGTTACAAATTTAATCATCAATTTCTTTAAGTTTCAGCCTTGCGACCATACTCCCCCCAGAACCCAAAAACTTTGATTTCTCGTAAGGTGCCGAACGGGTCATTATAGAATCCCGTCCGATCCCTAGTCGGCATAGTTTATGGTTAAGACTACGACGGTATCTGATCGTCTTCGATCCCCTAACTTTCGTTCCCTGATTAATGAAAACATCCTTGGCGAATGCTTTCGCAGTCTAAGAAAAGTACTATAGCAGAGTGGGTGCAGTACTTAGCGATCGGCTTCAGCTTTTCTGTGTTGAATCAGCCACCCTAACCACCAATCCCCCCCCAAATATTAGATTATTAAGGATGATTATTTGGTTTCCTAGGAGAACTACAAGGTGTGTACCGGAAATTTTGTAATTCGCCAATCAGACTGAGACGGCAAAGTAGACGACTGAGACGTCTCTATCCCGCGACGAAGTACAGTGTATGTACCTTTGTTTGTACTTACATAGTACGCAACGTTGGGTACTTTGTGGCTCTAAAGGAAGAAAGCGATGAGCTCGGATGATTTCCATGATAGGCGGAGATTCCGCGAAGCGAAGCGACCTAGGACACGGCCGATGACGGGGCGCCTCGAGTATCACGATGGCGGTCGTTGCATGCGCCAATGGTCGAGGGTAGAACGGTGACCAGAGGGATCATCGGTGGGATGGGATTGCTATAACACAGGGATGAGTGATACACTTCATTCCAGACCTGATCCTTCTAAGGGCCGAGAATTGATTTTCATTTTTGTAATTGTCATGTTGTTTTATTGTCTTAAAAAAGGGAATAAGGGAATAAGGGAATACTGTGTAAGGAAATCCATGATGTGTCCTTGTGACGGTGAACTCTGTATTGCAGGTAGTACTGTCGAGTAATCTCACTCTCACGACCACCTGCCACGAAAGGCGATAGGTAAAAACCTTCGTTGTGGAGTCTCTAGTCTCCAGTCTTAAAGTCTTTCCCCCTCGGGTGGTTGGAAAATATGTGCACAATGGAGTACCGCAACCGGGATCATGGGCTGTAGCATTGGTGGCGACGAGAAAGAGAGATTGGGATCCATTTTCGAACAGATTCTCCTTTTTCCATTTCGTGACCCACCAGAGAGGACGTGCGAGAGAAAGAGAACCAGAGTGAAAGGTCAGCAAATGTAGATCGAGGGACGGGAATAGGAAGCAAAAAGGAAAGGCTCCGGAAACCAAAAAGACCGAATGAAAAGGCCAAATGAAAAGGCCAAATGAAAAGACCAAATGAAAAGACCCAGTTGGAACCCATGCAACATTTGAACCGAGCTGACTGTATGACTGTGACGAGTTGTGCCCAGGTGAACTTCTTTGACCGAAGGAGTAAAGGAGGGGCGCCGATATTATTTTTCCCCAATTTCCAATCATTGTCTCCTTTCTACACTCCTCAACACCACAACGGCATGGATCGTCTCACACGATAGATCACTATGACCACTATAACACAGTGGACTTTGGCCTGTCCTTTGTGTTCAGATCCACCCTTCTCTTCTCTCTTTTGCTATCTAGGGGTTCTGGAAACGAAACAAAACCGTGGCGGTGGCTTAGAATCCCATCGCGGTTGATTTTCCCTTGCAGCTTGTTAGAAGGGCCAAGCGGAGAGGCCTGGGTGACAAAGTACGCTTTGTGCGTGCCTTAGCAAGGGTTCAAGGGCCGGAGAAGCTGAAACTGGGAGGTTGTTATGCTATGCTTTGGCGATCGTACTTGAGGCAGGAAATCTGTGTGCAGTTGCATGCTGAATGCGGTCACCCCTCAAATATGCTGAGCCTGATCGAATGATCAGGTCACCCCCCACG